CTCACTGGAGAAGAGCCTAATGCTGGGAAAGATTGAGGGCAAAAGAAGAAGGGGATTGCAGAGAATGAGGTGGCTAGATGGAATCACTGGAACAGTCGCCGTGAGCTTAAAGGGACTCCAGAGGATGTTAGAGGACAGAAAGTCTGGAGGAATGTTGTCCATGGGGTCATGATGGGTCGGACATGACTTCGCAACTAACAACAACGAAGTGGCTCTTCACATTATAGTCAGGCTCTTGGTAAAATCTACCCAAGGTAGGTAGGATTGAGTTCAGGCATAGCTATAAGCAAAGCATGTAGGGGCCTCACTTAATGGCCAATTGCTTAGTGACCCTTCAAATTACAATGGACACCAAAAGGTATCACCCCAATGGTCATATATCGCATTTCAAGTGCTTGGCAACTGGCTCTCCTTTACAGCCAGTTACGGCATTCCATTTTTAAGTGATGCGATTCACAACATTCCAGCAAAAACACCATAGAAATGCACTGACTCGCTTAATAAACATGGCATTCCGCCACAAAAAAAGGTTGTAAAATTGGGTCAGTCACATGGGAGCCTTGACTTATAATCATCATGACTTATGATGGAAAGCCTGGGTTCTATTACCATCATTAGTCAAGGACCAACTGTATATGTTAGGAAAAACAGTTTTCCCTTCTGAGTAAATATGAATAGGACTGCTATTACAAATTCATCCATGTTGGTGAATGGCAAGCAAATTTTAAGTTCCTTCAGCCCAACTTTATTCTAAGTTTAACATCTACTGCTTAAAAGATACATCACAATCTTACTATTAGTAAAACAGATGAATATAATGCCCAATGTGCTTCGTTCTGCAATTTATATACAGTATCTTCCATTGATCGGTTTATATTCCCACCTTTCATTTCAAGGGTGCCTCCTACAGTATCACAACAATACATTACCCAAACAAATACTTAAATGACAAAACAATTGTTCTACAAGTTCAGCTTTACAACTATACAATGATCAACTTAGCTTACGAATGGGTCACAATCTCAGAGAACAGAAGACTGCTTTTAAACTCATTTTCGCTCAATAGATTATTAAGAATCTGTGTTACTAAGCAAGGCAGTTCTCAAGTGATTTGTGCCTGAATTTATAAGTGAATCGCTGCAGTTGTTAAGTGGATCAGAACAGAATGGAATAACAGAGTTGGAAGGGATCCTTGGAGGTCTTCTAGTCCAACCCCCTGCTCAAGGCAGGAAACCCTATACCAATGGTTATCCAATCTCTTCTTAAAAACTTCCAGTGTTGGAGCACTGGACTTCTGGAGGCAAGTCATTCCACTGATTAATTATTCCAGCTGTCAGAAAATTTCTCCTTAGTTCTAGGTTGCATTTCTCCTTTAAATTTTAGAGTCTACCTCTCAAAGTCTGTCTAAGCATCTGACATCCAGATATAATTGTCTGAAAATACAGCAGTGATCATCCAAGACAGATGAAGAAGATGATAAAGGGAGAATAACTTAAAGAATTACTTAAAGAAGAAAACCCATAAAGGCTACACTTATTTAAAATTTTACCCCTTAGTATTATTTAATATTGATGGCTTGATGGGCCACAAAGGCTCAATGACAAATATGTCCAGTTACTGAATTTGATCCATTTATTAATAGATTAACCACTAAACGTAACAAAATCAGCAATATCTAAATCCAGTTAGCACTTAACTGCATTATTTCTCTTTTAGGAGTGACTGTGATCATTTAAAACAGCATCAATTTAAAAGAAACATGTTTTATCTTCCTGGGAGGCCATTCGCTCTATGCAAAACTTTTCTTTTTCACTTTAATCAATGAAGATATAAAGGTATCTGCAACTTTTTTTCTGTTAAACTCGGCATCCCTTAATATATATTTCAAGGATAAGCAACCTGATGCTCTCCAGGAATCCCGGACTACAAATCCCAAAATTCCTAGCCTGTTTGTGACTGGGGGTGATGGGAGTCCTAATGCAAAACTCTGGAGAAACAAGAGAAAATTTTAGAAATTTATTCAAATAGATTCGATGCACAAACATATAATTGTGTAACTTCTATTTATATTAAGTTTTATATATAGATATAAATCATTACTATTTTTCTTCCCCCTCACATTCATATTACTATATAAATATTACTGTTTTTCTTCCCCCTCACAATTATATTCTTATTTAAATCATTACTATTTTTCTTCTCCCTCACAATTATATCACTATATAAATCATTACTATTTTTCCTCTCCCTCACATTTATTTCCCTCAATTGAACTTACACTCCGGCTTTTCACCTCTATTTAACACTAGTAAAAATTACCTAACGCTGGAATAAAAAGTTAAAATACCTCACCAGGAAGTGGGTAACCCGGAAGCGAACGCTTATCCATCCGGAAGTTATTCTGGGTTAACCTTTCGTCACGGGTTGAGGTGCCTGACTCCGCCCCTCCTCCCCCACCCTCCCAAATGGGCGCAAGCACAACTGCAGAAGCGGAGGCTTCCAAAGCGTCACACAAGCACGGGATGTCGCCGGCTTGGGGAGGAGTCGCGTTGTGATTGGCTGATTAGGGCGCGGCGGAGACGGCCGATTGGCCAATTTCAATCTGGAGGCGGCGATTGAGTGATTCGAATGGGCGTTCGGGCGGCAAACTTCCTGAGGAGAAAGAACGGGATTCCCCCCCCCCCCAAATGGCGCCGAAGAGGCGGCTGCGGAACAGCGGCGGGCAGGATCCCCCTTCGAAGTGAGTTGGGCGGGAGACCAGCAACGGGAGGAAGGACTACCACCAATCCCGAAATGACTGGAGCCTTTTCCCCCCCTGTACATTTCGGGTGGGAGGGGGGGAGGATTCTTCTCGCCCTCACAACGACCCTGCGAGGTCGGCCGCTGCTGTTGTGAGAGAAGCCGGCCTGAGCCGCGACGGAGAATGAAACGGCGATGGCGATTCGTCTCTTTTCTACGTGGGAGAGAGACGTTGAAATATACTCTGTGCCACTGCTGACTTTAGAAATAAGTTTAGGAGAAAAATACTACAATTCCTTTACCAAACCTTAAAAGAAATAAACTTTGTAAAAAAATTAATCCCCAAACTGAAATTGATTGTGCTCACTTTATTATACCAGTAAAACTTATCTATCAATATCTTAAAATTACTCAGGTTCCATAATTGCATTCTGTAGTGTAAGTAGAAATGTACATACTGTGCTATAACGTTTATAACAGTATATGTGTCTTTTGTTAGTGTTCACTGCTCTTGCTTTTGATACACTTGTCATTAAGTTGTCTTGTAGATTAAGGATGCGCTGTCCAGAGTCCTTATTTTGAAAGGCCATACAGCACAAGACTTTGTTAAGAACCCTTGTTTCTATTTCCATTGTGCACTATCTGCGTTGTACTGTATAAAACTAGTGTGTGTATTCTCTGAACAAAATTCCTATCTTATTTTTTTTGGAGGGTCTTCATCATGGATGAAACAGTAGCTGAATATATTAGAAGAACCGTGCTGCGAATACCACGTTCAGAAACATCCAAAATGCTGGCTTCATGGGGTTTTTTGTCCGAGACTCAACTTCAATCTTTAAAAATTCATCATGTCAAGGACAAAGTATCTGAAGCAGTTGTTGAACTTTGTGAGGTAAGAGCAAAGTACAAATGCTTTTGTCTTCTCTTTGAATACATACATACATACATACATACATACATACATACATACATACATACATACATACATACATACATACATACATACATACATATATATATATATNTCTTCAGGATCTGGCCTTCTAAAGAGCAGTCAGGGTTGATCTCCTCTAGGACTGACCGGTTGGATCGCCTTGCAGTCCAAGGGACTCACAGGGATCTTCTCCAGCATCAGAGTTTCAAGGCCTACATTCTTTGGCACTCAGCCACAGGATTGTAAAAAGAAAAAAAAATCATTCATTCATTCATTTGGCTTCCTGCTCCATCCCCAAGATCATCCAATTTGATGCCTGCTTTTTGGACAGACTGCTGTCCTATGCCACACTGTTGGTCCAAAACCCATTTTTCTCACTTCTTTCAGGAGAAACATTGCATTTACTCTTATCAAGGAAGGAAAGGTCTTTGCAGGTTTGATCACCTTGACACAATCTCCGTGATGGACCTGCATTTGTGTTGCTTCTTGGTCTCATCAGAGCTGGCTTTGACCTTCTGGCCAGAACAGCTCAGAATCTTATTAAGCAATTACTTTCCTTCCCTCTCCCCAACTTGTTCTCTTTTGTTCTTTTCCCCCTCCTCATTTTCTCATCGTCCTCCCCAAGCTGCACGCATCGCACTTCCACTCTGAGTCACAATTCCTCCCAAAAAGGGCCTTATTCCCTCACTTTGGTTCCTGCAGAAATGTTCAAAAGCTGGCGACAAACCTTCTGGGAGAAAAAAATCTATCGCATAAAAGGCGAAGGAGACACTTGTAGGCAAGGGAAGAGATATTTGTTCCGGCGTAGGCTGACAGAATTGATTGAAATATCAGTCATTGTTAATAAGTGCATGGCCCCGTTTTCATCTGGCATCATCCCATTCTAGGGATTCAGGAAGAAAATGTTAAATACCTTCAGTGCTTAAAAAAAAAAAAGGTAGCCTACAATTTTATTCGTTTACTAGCTGGTAACCCAGCGTTGCCAGGGTATTTGTTTATCCTAATCCTGTATTAGACAGGAAAAGCCCGGTTCCACCACAAAACCGCATTCGACTAAAGGGCGCTCGACGAAACTGCGTAGCTGACATCATCAAAGGGCGACAACAGTGCGGAGACAGAAGCACACTGTAAACGCTAAACCTAAAATTAACCCCTAAACCTAAACCTAACCCTCCTAAACCTAATCCTA